TCCTTTTCGCAAATTGGGTGAGGAACTAAATGGAATTTTGATATCACGATTGAATTCAAAAGAAATGTTTTTACTTTCAAAATTAAGAATAACTTTCATTTTATTTAAGGATGGGATCCCCAATATCACATCAAAATTTAAACTCGAAAATTCATAAAAAGATATAGGCCATGAAAGGCTTGCTATTCTCACAAACACTTTAACCTGTTTGCGGACCCTAACCATTGAGGAATCGGGCAACATGACTACTGATGAACACGGAGTGTACTTTACTGTACCGATCTTATTTAATTTAGAAACAAATTTAGCTGAAATAAAATTATAACTGGCTCCTGTATCGAGCAATGCTAACACCCTAATATTATTTATTTCTACCAAAACTAAAGGCATACAATTAGGTAAAATATTACCATGTCTGAGGCTAAAAAGGCAAACTAGTTTTTTGGATAGCTATCATTTTTATTACTGAGTTTGCGACATTCATTTAATAAATGACCGTAATTCCGACAGTATCTACAAAATTGTGCACGCTTTTGCTCCGGCGGCGGTGGTCGAGATTGAAAGTTTACAGGAGGGCTAATGGTGGGTACGATATCAAAAGAATTAGGGTGCTTAAAATTTTCCTCTCTCCTGGCGATTGATTCAATTTTGTAAATTATTGTATCCAATTCACTAAACGTGGAAGGTTCGTAAAAATGTTTGATTACATCAAAGGTTTTTTTGCTACAATGTGCCCAAATTATTGAAATTAGGTGCGATTCGGGATACGTAAGGTTTAATGCACAAAATTTTGACTTAATATCCAAAACGAAGGATTCAAATGACTCGTCCTCCCTTTGCAAACGGTTAATAAATTTATCGCACATTAGGATTATATCTGAATTATTTATGTATTTAGAGAAAAGAGCTCCCCTCACCTCAGTCCACGGTTTACTCATCATAGTAGACCACCATTCTGTAATGTGATCGTCCACTTTAATCGATAACGCGATCAGAAGACTTAAACTATCGACGTTTGGGAGCTTGAAAATCTTGTCTACTGCCTCGATAAAAAGCACAATAGCCTGGGGATTGTTATGGCTACATGTAGGAACATTCGATATTAATTTATTCGAGTCAACTTTGAACTTAATCTTATGGTACGAGGTGATATTGTCTGCTGCCTCAATTGCGACTTTCAAAATTTCGGAGCAGTTTTGATTGGTAGTTTGAATATCTTGTGCAAGTGAATTTACAAATGATGAATTAGGCAAAGTTGGTTTAGGTTTAGGAGATAGTAATTTCTTAGATTTCGTTTTCAAAGTAGGGGCGGCGAGTACACGTTGCGAATGTACCGAAGAATTGACAGTACTGGCAGTACTTGCCTGCGGAGACTCATCTGGAACCTCTTTAAGGCGTTGAAAGGCAGTTAGGAGTTCCTGCTCAGTCATGCTAGCAACCCGACTACCTTTTGGGAATTGTAACAGTTGTTTAGGGTTGACTACCGCAGGTGTGGAAAATTTCGAAACTGAGGTGACACCTTTTGCGGTGCTACGCGTAATAGGAGGTGGCATCAAAGAAGTTATGTAAAATAATAACTGTCAGTATGAAAGAAACCTTAAAACGCGGAAAATACCTATACGAGTAAAATATCTAATTGACTATCAACCGCACATGCTGCATAAATATGATCGATCGGTACAAGCGCGACAAATAAAATCGATAAATTATCACAAGGTTATTGCATAAACAACACATAAAAATAATCGTAGCTCACAATACACCAACAATTTTGATAAAGATTACAACAATAAAATTTACGTTACGCTCTGCTACCATTTGTAGCGAGTGCCCAGTGGCCTCGCTTTAAAGAAAATAAAAAAAAAAGGGGTCGGCCAAATGCCGTGGATCAACGACGAGCAATGTTACTCACTGGCCATAACATGTAGTAAAATTTAATAATATTTAATTATAAGATTAACAATAATAAACAACTAAGGCGTACAAGTGAGCTACTTTTTGTTAACTATGATTCTAGGTGTCTATATAATTACGTAATCCGGCCAATACGACTGTATGATGTTAAGCTGGGTGTCGTGATGTCTTTGGCGTGCTTTATTAGAACTTAGAAGGTGACCATCATGCGCGACGACGGTGGTCACTAAGGGGTGGCCGCTCTTCCTCGCGTGGCCATCGCGGGAACGGGGTGTTATTGTGTCCACCACTGGTTACTACCCTTGGCGTCGAAGATTATTGGCCTCGGAGACGTAATTGGAATTCCAAATGCAGCAATAACACAAAAGGAAAAACCTTGTGAAGGCTCACGTCTTTATAGATTGAAAAATGTATGATCGAGCGAGCAATAGCACTCGTGCCGCTGGTTGACAACGAAAGAGGAAAAACCCAATTTTGGCGCGGTGTATGTGAGCGCCGAAAATTTGTAAGTGGGAACGGAGAGATATCTTACGGAAAACCCGATCTATACATAATATACAGCGTGTACCCTTAACAGAGGACGTCGAAAGCCTGAAGAATGTGAATCTGCCTCAAGTCTATAACTTTTGATTGAAGAAGCGATCGAAAGTACGAATTGATTTGGATTCTACCGCACCCAAATTAATAAGAAAAAGTGTTTTCCCCGAGAAATTTTGGTGTAGTCGATTTTTGGTAAAAAAGGAAGGTTATACACTGCCTTTTTTTAAGCCCCGAAAAAAAAATTGTCTCAGATCGACCCGGAAAAAAAATTTTCTTATAGAATGTGGCCTGTAGAATCCATAATTTCAAACAGTTCCAAGATGGGGCTACTAGTTCAAAAGTTACAGCCCTTTGAATTTTTTTTCGAAATTGGTTTCTAGTCTATAACTTTTGATTGAGAAGTCTGATCGAAAGAGTACGAATTGTTTTGGATTCTACGCACCAAAATTAATAAGAAAAAGTGTTTTCCCGAGAAATTTTGGTGCAGTCGATTTTTGGTAAAAAAGGAAGGTTATACACTGCCCTTTTTTGAGCCCCGAAAAAAAAATTGTCTCAGATCGATCCGGAAAAATAATTTTCTGATAGAATGTGGCATGTAGAATCCATAATTTCAAACAGTTCCAAGATTGGGCTACTAGTTCAAAAGTTACAGCCCTTTGAATTTTTTTTCAAATTGGTTTCTAGTCTATAACTTTTGATTAAGAAGTCTGATCGAAAAAGTACGAATTGATTTGGATAAGTATAAGGGTAGTGATTACGTTGAGGTATAAATGAATGTGTGAATATTTTAATATGAAAATACTGTTTTTACGTGAATAAATGGTACATAGAAATACTTTGTTTTACAATGACTATTTCCTCACACATGAAAGTTGAAGGTGAAAGGTGACTTTACGCCAACTCTTCAGTTACCTATCTCGTATGAAATTGCACGAAGAGCATTTTCAGCTAAACATATTTCATCTAGACCTGACGGTCGCGATATTTTTGCAAAAGACCGCAAAAAAAACACGAAAATGATGATTTTCGCTTCCTTTGATGAATTTTCTAGGCTAAGAGGTACACCTAAGCTAACTTCTGAGTATCTAACCTTGTAAAAAATTTCACGAGGAGCATTTTCAGCTAAAAATATTTCATCTAGCCCTAAAGGTCGCGATATATTTGCAACAAGCCACGAAAATTGATGATTTTCGCCGCTTTTATAAATTTCCTACGCTAAGAGGTACACCTAGGCTAACTTCTGAGTATCTACCTTGTATGAAATTTCCCGAGAAATATTTTCACCTAAAAATATTTCATATAGACCTCATAGATCGCGAGATATCAGCCAAAAAGAGCGAAAACACGGTTTTTGAGGGATGGTCGGGTGGCTGGAGCCTTTAGCACAGGGTCTGGAGGGTGGGATTTTTAATATGTTGTTTTTGACACCTAACTGAACATATTCCACCATTTTTTTCTTTTCCACCTCAAAATGTCCAGTTTGCCAATTTTACAGTCTCTATCGCCTAGACTATAATGCCCGTTTGCACCGACAAATTTAAGCGGAGCTTAGCTTAAGCGTAGCTTAAAATCCATGGCAACGATTATTGAGACAATGGTTGCCATGGATTTTAAGACTCATGTCTGGCGTGCCTGAAATACCTACAGATTTGTTACTTATTTCAACAGAACACTGAGCGTGTGTGTCCGTGACTCGTACTATTTTCAAGTTTTCGTAGTCAAAGACAAAGAATTCCTTGTATCGTTTTTATTCAATGGTGTAGAGGAGTAGGAAATTCCTAATTCAGAAGATGCTGTTCTGATTGCAGCGCGTGGATAAGCTTGAAAATATCTCAGAACGTCAGTCTCGCGAGATGTATATATTTTAAATTTAACCCGGGGCATGTTCTATCGACTATTCTATTACTCTGCCCGTAAAAATACATAAATGAAAAACAACAATGTGGATAATTATAATCCACAGTGAAAATTGAACGAATTAGGCAAGCATCGGAGACATTGGAAATGATAACGGTAGGTATAACGCCATATGTAAAACACAAATAGCCCTTATGAGAGAGAGAGAGATCGTTTATTGAACCACTTTTGTGGTATAACATTGGAACAATTACAACTTAATATAAATGTATAAAGATAAAATGTAAATAGACTATAATATAGATCAAACAAACAACAACATAACAATATTAAATGTAAATATATAAAAATTTCGATAAAAATTACAGTTAATAAATTGCGATATTTGTGAAGAAGTCTTCTTCACTCGGAATCCCTGCTCCACTCGCTCGCAAGCTCGCTCGTGTCGCAAACGTACGTCTCAATAATAAGCCTCATCATAATATGCTCGTAATCCTATTAAAGGAGATGTGCGAGAATTTTAAATTGGAATTAACCAATTGCGCATTATTAAGAATTTCTTTAATCTACCCAATGCGGCCGAGTACGGTACAATCAACACTTGACGCGACACCACTGTCTTCTTTTCTGATTGACTGGTAACTTAATACCCATACACAAAACATAAGCATTTCCAATTCTAAAAATAAGGATATTTATTTAAAAAAATACCAATAACTCAAAAACTATTTGGTATAGCATACAGAATGTTAATAACAAAGGCCCTAAAATTCAAATCTACATTCATTTCTGGCATCTGAGTTGCAATTTGAAAACTGAAGCCTTTGGGATTTTTTTATTGCTGTCAAAAATCGCAGAAGCCCTGCAATAGGTATATAGATAGAAATCTACCTAAAAGAGCACTCGCGTATATTGAACGGTTTAAAAGATATGAATTTTTGAATGGTCCAGACCCTTGGATTTCCAAATTAAAGCTAAAATTGGTATACCTACGTCAAAAACTATAACAAATATCAAGCATTCAGTGCGTCAGAGAAAGAGACCTCTTTATTTTTAAGGACAATTAGAATAAAACTGACATTTAAAAATTGAGCATTATAAATTAACTTTGGTTTTATAATTTTTCATTAGGACGACTTGGGAAATAAGGCGTCATAAGGATATTTTCTGCACATTCGAGAAAGAAACCGTTCTAAAAATGCTTGAAATATGTTTGAAAATGCCGGTGAAACCTCCGTTGCAATTAATTTGGAGCTGGCTTTTAGAAGAGGATTGACTGCAAATAATGGTATTATATTCTGTGTACTTATGTCGTTTGTTTTTATTTACCTCCATCGGCTATTCCTTCTAGCTTCACTTCGATATCATCTAATTTGCAAGTTACTTGGGCTTTAATATCTCTACAGCTTTTGGTCGCACTCCAATTATTTACAAGGAAATCGCATACCAGATTACCATTTTGAGTAGTACCAGAACCCCGGCCGCCTATTGGTATGTTTACCAGATGCCCAGTCATTTCAACATTTGTGGTTATAGCCGAATCCGGAAATGTCACTTGTCCACCGAATACAGCGTCTTTTGGACGAAAGCTAACGAAACAGGAAGACATGCGAATTTTTGTATGTTATCTACTTACTCTACTTTATTAAATTGATAATTGTATAGTCCATATATTGTAAAGTTTTCAGCGGTTGCACTTATATTGGTTATGGAAGATTCGAGGGTTATTGTAAAGTTGGGGGCATTGTAAGGATCAAGCGAGCTCAATCCAATCTCCGGTATTCCCTTTCTAACATACTGATTTAGGCTATTGGCAGCCTTTAGGATGCACTCATTTACGTTGGCATCATCCTGATAGCATCTGGGAAAGTAACTTGCTAAAAACAAATTTCAGTCTGAGTTTCGTTATATCTATCTGTACTTACGCAGTGTAGCTGCTGCGAAGACAGTGCCAACGAAAAGGGTTAGTAATACAGCAAAAAACATTTTAGAAGAGACAAAGTAGTTCGATATTTTCACTATCCTTATATACCTATCCAAATGCGCCGTGAGAACATTGATCACGATAAAATTTAAACTTCGCAAAATTATTAGCTGAACATATGCATTTTTCACATATAAAGGTTCAACAATGTCGTGGCATCTGTACATATGATAATGTTCCTCGCTTAAAATAGAGAGAAATAATGACTCTGATCTTTCGATTCATTTACTAGTCGCCTTTGTTATTTGATTAGCCTAGTATTAAGAATATCCAATAATTAATCGAAGTGGGGATCGTTTATAGGTATATCCCATAAATTGAAATTTATTTATTAAATTTCACAATTTGCGACCTCGCTGGATGGAGCGGCAGCATTTCCATATGAGGCAGCATGGAATGCACTACTTCCTCGTTATGATAATAACAAACTTTGAATGCAGTACCTTTAATAACTTTACAACATTTTTGCATCGGCTGATAGTAAAAGTAAAAAGTATGGTTTCTGTGCGAAAGGTCATTACATATAAAACTGCTGAATTCTTAAAATGTTCGGTTGATGAACGTATTGAAAAAGCGCGCGAGGCTAGGTTATATTTAAATTGTTTAAAGAAGGGGCATACCAATAAGATGTGCCATCGTAGCCCGAGCACAAAGTGCAGCAATATGGACAACAAATTACAAAGGTACCGGATTCTTTCTATCAGTGCTGGTCCTCCACTTTTGATTAATTCGGCTGCAACTTTTCGCGGCTCAAATGATCTTCCTTCCCACCTCCGAGACCGTACCATCCCTTCATTCACACACCACAGAACTATATCAAAACGACATTCAAACTCTTAAAGAAAAAAACCCAGTTTTCTAGACGCCTCAGTGTAGAGAAGAACGTACAAATGAACTACACAGCAGCTGAATTTTCAGATTGTTTGCATTTGTTTTTAAACTACGGAGAAATTTATTTCGAGATCGGCATCCAAAATACGTAAGAAAATTAATAAAGAAGTAGTCTACATAGGTGACTATGTAAATATTCAATATCCAGATAAATCACAGCTGAGCATCAATGTGTATCATCAAAAAATGAAAATTGTTGACCTCCGCGCTTTGTAATTTTATTCTGAATATCTGAACCGATCATTGTTCCCATGTTTAATGTTAAATGGGCCGCGATAATTTTCATTTGGTTTTCTTTACTACGCAATGTGTTTAGCAACCTTGTTGAAACATTTTTTTGTGTTTCACCAAAAACCTTGTTGTCAAGTGGCAATGTGAATTTATGAAACAACCGTCAAACTAAATTGAAAATTGTCTTTGCATTCTATTAAAATGGATTCAAGGATTTATAAATTAATCCAATGTCTTTTTGTATACGTTCAAAATAGTATTCTAATTTGATGTATGCATACCATGTTATAATTACTTTGTTTTTGCCTATAAACTGTCTAATTAAAATGATAATGCAAGAATCGGCTGACAGTGAGGAGTAATTATGGAGTTTTTATACAATTCAGGAGTGCGTTGAAAGGTTTTGATGCGAATGATTCCACTCTCGATCTGAAAACTATGAGAGTATCTTAGCGATTTTACTTGAAAACAATGTTACCGATTTAATTAGATACCAGATATAAAACGCTTAAAGGGCGCGCTTTGCATAATCGGTCGAACAATGTCTTGCAGTATGTTGGAAAATGTAGGTGAAGCTTCTGATGCCCATCAATTAGTTAAGATTTAGTAGGTATGTTATAGCATACCTTAATAAAAATTTCAAATAATGGAAAACTGTAAGCACCTTCATTAATTAAACCAGTTAAGTGCACTTCTATTTCTTGCATTTTACCTGAAACCTAATGCCTTTACAGTTCCCATTTCAATTACTTAAAAGAAAATTGCAAATTTCGTTATTTTCTGTTATGGCTTACCCGCGTCCTTTAGAAGAAAGATTTAATATATATCCAGAACCTTCCTAATTTTTATTGATAAATCCCAATTTAGTGAAGTAACTGCTCCTATGGCGCTAAAAGGTAGTGGTCGCATATTTAAGACGTATTAAAATCGGTCCCACGAACGCAAACTGATATCCGGTACAGACTATGTTGTTACGGTACACCCTGTAGGTACATGAGATCGGCATTCATCAGAGTTCAAATAAGTATTGAAACGATATCGCAGTTGGCACGCATGCCAATTGTTGTCTTGCCTTTCTTTCCTTTTCAAACTGTCGAATCGTTAAGGTCGGTTGTGCAAATATTAAAGTACCTACCGAGTGAGATTGGAACCGGTCAGTTGCCACCAAAGATACCCACGGTACGTCACTACTCACTACAGGACGATAAGATTACGGGAAATATCCCGGTCACCATTTTGGGCGTCGCGATCGGCTGGATCTGCTGCGGGCCGGGACAGTCGGGTGGAGGTATATCTACCGCTCCTTTTTTCGCCGCTCACCTTTAATTTAATTAAAATATATATAGTCGCGTCAAACTTGGACTGTGATAAAATGGTTATTGCTAATTACTAGTTAACGCACATGGTGCACCCTATTCTCTATGTATTACTAATTATTAATAAATTAATTGTACCCTACACAATATCGATCTTACCGATCTGCGGCTTCCCCGCTTATTATTATCTTTCTATTAGTATTAAGCGAGTCGCTTCACCGCAACTCGCTATAATGTACCTACTGTGGCTGCTTGCTTCCCATGAGATAGTGGAATAAAATTGTTCATATTTTTTTCATATATACCATATATATCTGAATACGTGGGAAAGTATTATGAATTAAACTAGTAGGTATGTGATCAAAATGTTAACATCCGAAACTGGAATGATTGCATTTTCAGTTTCAATTAAAATTAATATGCTCTGCGTCCATCATTTTTTATGTAGCGGATTTTAATTTAAAAAAAAATAAAAAAATTTTTCATCACATTTGTTGCACGTAAGCGGTAAGCTTATGCAGGTGTTTAAAATATAAAGATAAGTGGGGTCATTGAAGGATTTCTCTATTGAAACCGCGCTAATTCGTAAGGGATTTTTAAATGTAAAAATACATGCAATACAAAAAAGCCTTTAAATAATAATAATAATAATAATATTTATTCTTGTGATTATACATTATGTATTTACAAACGTCATAAAGATAATAATTTTATACAAAAAGTTTAAAAATTTTTCAGTCGCCTATCTTTATATCACAGATGTCTGTATCACTTAAAAACTCGTCTTACTAATTTCTTAAAACTTTGAGGATTTTCTGTTTTGCAGGTGATATGAAGATGATTATAAAGTTTGAAGCAAAGGTAATTTGAGCTGGATTGAGTTTTACATATTCTTTTAAAGGGTAAGTAGATGCTATTTTTATTTCTTGTGTCATGATGTATATGAGAATGATTTTGTATGCTTTGATATTTAAATTTATGCACGTATGTGACTGACACTAAAATAAATAATGACGACATAGTTAAGGTTTTTAATTTAATAAATGAGTTTCTACAGTCGACTCTTATAACTGATACCACTAAGAATTCTGACAACTCTTCGCTGAATAGCAAAAAGGCATTTACCCGCGTAAGAATTTCCCCACAGAACAATTGCATAAGACAATATACTCTGAAAATTCCCGTAATATGCACTAATTAAGACGTTATTTGAAACAGTATTCTTTAAACATTTAATAAGGTAACTCACCCTTGTTAGTTTATTTGCAACATTGTTCACATGTATGTTCCATTGTAGAGTAGTACTTAAGCTGACGCCTAGTATCTGAATAGTTGAATTATTTTTAATATCTCCTAAATCGCGGAGGCTATGCCATAGGGTTTGTGTTTTACTGTCATTTACAGCTAGCTGATTAGCATTAAACCATGTTTTATCTCCTGGTTTGTATGGTATATTTTAGAATGAAGATTTTCAAGAGAGGTTTCGATATTTATGCTATTTGAATCATCTGCGTAAAGTATGAGATTATTTGCAGACACATTATCAAATAAATCATTAATGAATATAATGAAAAGGGTAGGACCTAAGATTGAGCCTTGGGGTAACCGGCACATTACTACTCGTTTTTCTGATAAATTATTGTTTAGATTGACAATCTAGTTTCTGTTTGTATGGTAAGATTTAATTAACTGCAGAGAAGTTTGATTGAATTTGTAATGTCGTAGTTTTTGAATCATTAGATCTGTATTGATGCAATCGAAGGCTTTTGTTAGATCCCAGGATGTTGTGTGTGCATACTGCCCTTTGTCAAAAACATCCAATATTGTGTTCACATAATCAATTAAAGCTAATACAGTTGAATTATTTTTTCTAAATTGCTTTGTGTTGAAGAGCCTATTTTCCTCAAAATATGATATTATTTGATTCTTTAGCATTCTCTCAAATACTTTTGATAGGATTGGTGTTATAGATATTGGTCTATAATTAGACGGATCGCTAAGACTACCTTTTTTGAATATTGGTGTAACTAACGATATTTTTAGTGCATCTGGAAAGACTCCTGAGCTTATCGAGCTATTTATTAAACTGGTAAGTGGAGTAATAAGGATATTTACTACTGCTTTTAGAATTTTTGAGTTTAGTCCGTATATATCTACCGATGAGGTATTCGATAAACTCATAATAGCGTCTCTAATATGAGTTTGCGATACCTCTTTAAAGGAGAATATGTTTTTTGAAGTATTTGTTTTGTTTAATAAATCTTTTGAGGTTTTGCAGGTTGTATCAACTGACTGTATTCGATCAGCAATATTTGCAAAGTAATTATTTAATTCATTTTCTGTTGGCGGTTGATCGCTTTAAAAAACGTATAAATCAAAATTTTCCTTACTAAGTTTTTTATTACTTCAATCAATTTACCTTTAATGTAACATAAATGGAATAAAAGTGCCTTATATAAGATGCCTTTTTTTGCAGGGGACGATGTTGATACAAAACTAGGCTAATAACAACCCTCTTTACAGTGATAATGACTCAGAAATAGACGGCGGAAAGCTTTTAAGATGCACTTCAGATTCAGAGGACTTACACTCCAAGCTTCTACTCAAACTTTCAAGCTTAAACCTCCAATTTTGAAGCACCAAATGTTAACCTCCAGCTCCAACATTCACATATCAAATTTGGTGCTTTTTTCTTTCTCCGATCGGTTATTATTATGGATTGTGTGTCAACTCTGTTCCGATAGTCTTGTCTTCTACTGAATCTATTCTCCTTCTTCAAGATTCATACAGTTCGTACACTGAAGCATCGCAGGCAGTAGCGACATCTCAAAATACAGAAATCGTGAAGAAGATGCACCTGAATAAGTTGCACGATGACTTAGACCACCTCTCCGTAGTCCAGGAGGAAAACTCGGGAGAAACCTCGGACAACATTTCGAAACGAACCGCTGCTCGTGGACGGAAAATTTGCAATCAGACCAAGATGTAATCAAAGAGGACCAAAGCTGGGTAGCTTCAAGTTACCACTCGAAGTCCTCACACCTAGCCTCTTAATCCCGCCCCACGAATTTTGCGGAACCCTCCTTCAGCCTTACGTACCCGTACCCGTACCCATTATGAAAGCAATGCTCTATAGAAATAAAAGACGCAGAAAAGACAATCTTCAATTCTACCAAATACTTACAGAATTATTTTTACAATTCCACTAGTTAAATAATTTATTGGAAAATCCACCTCTAAATTTCAACAGGGTGTAATCTCCCCAACGTTACGATTAATCAACGCTGTAGCTAAGAAATGGAAAATTCATTCTTTACTGATGAGATTTTCATTACTTGGCACAGAATGAATGCATCAAGGATCAATTTAATTACCAAACCATTAACGGATCAAATGGCGCTCTATTGTTTAATCACTGTTTACATCAATAGTACTGTGCTCGCGCATGTCCTCGGCGTCTTCACTTCTCTCTGTCAGCTGCTCTTCTTTTAATTCAACTCGCTCATTCTTCTTCTTGCTCGTTTAGGATACCCGTCCACACTTTCTTCCAGCACCTTTCTTAACAAACACATGCCCTATTTCTTTCTCTTATGGTGGCCAGTAACTTTCTTTTCTCCCCTATTCTCGACAACACATGTTGGTTGCTAACTCTATCTGACCATTCGATTGTCAAAACCCTTCTACATAACCACATTTCCGGACATTCTATCCTTTGCTTCTCCCTCTCATCTGATGCCCACGTTTCACAGCTTCATTTTACTAAGTAATAATTTACCTTTTTCTACCTAAACGCCTCTTTAGCCGTCCCATTTCGGCGACTTCTACCCACAACGGTCAAAATAGTGCCACAACGCTGAATATCCGTCCGTTTTAGATATTAATGCACACCTAAGGTGTGTAAGAGCAATCGCCAGTCAGACTGGTGTGCGAACCCTTTTCCTGGTTTTCTTTGTCAAATTTGCATGAAATGAAAATTAATCGTGGAGAGTGGGGCGAAGTGGTACAAAAAGACAGGTGGGCGAAGTGTCCGGGTCTGGCATCTTATCATTCTCCTTTCTTTCCAGTCAACAGATTTTCTCTTCAGTATGCTCGGCAGTTTGTCCGACTTAACACAATCATGTGCTTTCTCGAGATCTGTAACACAAAGGTACACTTATTTCCCTCCCTTCAGTTGCAATTAGTTATTTCATTCTAATCGCTCATATTAAACTCGCACGCGGTATTGGCATTATCAGTCGTGACGTGTGCCTCGAAGAAGAAGGTTTATGATATGACCAGAAATGTCCAGTATTCCATCTTTAACATATTGATTTAGTTTACTTCCAACATTAATAAAGCTATCGTTTATCTTGGGATCATTCTGGTAACATACTGGAAAGTAGGTACCTATGTAGCTTGCTAGGAGAAAGAAGAAACGATAATATTTTGAAAAAACTTACGTAGTTGTACCGATGTAAAAGAACTATCTAAAATAAGGAAAAAAATCATAAAAAACGTTAGGCGACAATAGTGACCCTATATAGACATACAGGTACTTACTTTGTTGCCCGAATCGAGTGTGAAAATAAACAGAAGTAATACAAACACTCGATACAAATAAAAGTCATTACATGTGATATCAGAGGATAATAATGTTTGCATTGGAGATTAAAGTAATTTTTCCCAGATTTGCGATGTTTTTCATCTGTGTTAGATCTATTGTCGAGTGTGACTCCACTTTCTTTTTCTCAAACAATATCGATTGACTTTAAACTTTGACTATGAAATCTGGTATAGTTGTTAAAACAATTCATTATACAATTTGTATAAATATAGATCTACGTTAGGGGATTTTATGGTGTCCATCAATAATTTGACTGTAATATTCTCTTAAGTAACTGTCGTCTACTCAGCAAAATATAAAAGGTAGAAGAATGACATTAGAAAGCATACTGATCTGTTTCACTTTATCTACTCTTACGGTTAAAGTGATATATTTACCCTACAATAATATAACTTACTTAACATTGGGCAACCGGTAACTCTCGAAGCGAGATACTCATGGAACGGAAGCTGACTACACTGTTGGACAAGTTCACCCTGATTTTTACAAAGCAATGTCTGCTAAGTTAGGACAAAAAATTGAACTGGTCCCTACCAGATCTTTTGTAGAAGACGAACCTTTCTACCCCAGATCATACACGATAGGTCCGAAGTAGATGCCCTCAACTGTCATTTTTGCTACAGGACCGTTGAGTTACAAAGTTCAAGATCCAGATGATAAAGTAATGAAACCAGCATACGAGGTAACTCCTGCTAGAGAAACAGATCCGACAAAAGAGACGGATTCCAGTGATACTGACTCTATAGTCATATGACTGCAGAAGCAGCTGCGGAGACCACTAAAAAACCTCCACCGCTGGACAGCAGAAAGAGAAAGAGAAGCCTGTTTCTACATTAGCTGTAACGGGTGACCCGAATTCAAGACCGACCAGAGTGCGTCGTAAACCACACTATCTACACTCTACAGGTCTACAGGATTATTCTTGTTGATGTGCGTTGCAGCGAGGTGGGAGGTGTTTGGAAATATCACTCACATCACACATAAATAAAACCTTTAATTATATCACAGATTTTTAAAATTTAAATCTGTGATTATATGCAGCGATTTTATTATAAAATTCCACCAATGATAATTCGTACAAAAGTCACGTTATTATAAAGTAATGGGCTGGTTATGCGCTATTGCGTTCGCATGCGCCACCAATAAGAACTTTACGCCATTATCGTTTTTTAGAAATCCGAAAATATATCTAGAGGAGGGCAAGTGTACATAGTCCCTCTCCCACTACATATAGTTTATCGCTGATATCTATACCACTTAGTACTGGTTATGTTCACATTTGCATCATCTGAATTGAAGTTAGCGCTATTGCTGTTATGAATTACAAATTTTCAAAAAGAGGGGGGAGTAATTTAACTCAATCTAGGTAGTCTGTCCAGTTATATTGGATAATATTCATTTATTTTTAGTGTGTACATGTAACTTCTCGTATATTTGTAAATATATTTTTTTATTGAGCAATCTTAATTAGTTTATTGTCATTACAGATAATGAACCACATAGACCATGCCGAACTAATATCCCGGATTTACTAGTTTTAGGTGGTACTCCTAATAGTGCGGGGATTACCTATGTGCATTGGTGTTTAAATCATTCCGCAGTGTGCAGTGTGTAAGCCGCAAGTTTGTAGCGTATGAGAAAAAAAGTCACAAAACAAAAACGTCAAGAGAAGTAGTATTTTAGCAAATCTGTAACCCATACCAAACGACTTGATACTGCTATGTCAAATGTAAGAAAATTCGCTAAACCCCATGAAGTTTGTTTCGCGCACCACAAGGGAACCTTCATTCAAAAGTTAATGGCGTAGCAGATTTCAGTCACTCGAATTCTAATAGAATCAAACGATAAGAAATAGTAAAGTCATTCGATAGGACGTTATTAGTTCAGCTACTAATTTTCTTTCGTAAGAGGGCAAAGTGAAACTTTACGAGCTTACTAGAAAAAACGTTCTCGAACTTTTAATACCCTCCGCTTTAAATGGAATAGCTGCCTGTAAAATTGATTTGCAGGATTTTTAGAAAAAAGAAACACACGTTATAGAGGCCCTCCGACAGAAAAGCAAATTATGAAGGGACAAAGATTCTAGCCCTGGATCGTGCGTGATAGTTTCATTTTTAGAACAGAAATATACATTCTTTCATTAAACGAAGCTTTGGAATTTTGTTTAATACAATCCTCCCTTCACATTTCCATTTCCTTTACTATTTGCCACAGTACGTAGTAGTTACAAATATTTATTCCCACAAAGTTCGCCCACAAAAGAATTTAATGCAATTTAATTTACCCCAGTATATTTTCAATTACAAGAAATCGCTCCAAGACTGTTTACTTCCACGAAAGCTTTTTATTTATTACTAATTGCAACCGTTAACATTTCTGCTTTTGTTCTTTCATCGGTTTTCAAAAAAAGAGCACATTGCTACCACCACCATATCTACTTCATCAATGGTTACATTAACAGTAAATTGTCGCTTGATGTGTACAAATGTACTGTAGTGTCAACTGCAGGGTGATCTCGTTTTTCTTCGGTTCAAATAATGCAGACGATGAGAGCGAGCCACCCTATAGTTGAAAATTTACGAGCTGTAAACGTAGTTTAGGTTTAGCAGGCGGAACAACGCACAAATAAACAAGGCGAGTCCCCATAAAGCCTATTTATGGACGCGATATATACTAGTTATTTATGTATTAAGGGCATAATAGTGATGTTTATATTCTCGAGGGCGACGAGTTAAAAAGCTCGAGGGCCTATGGCCCGAGAGCTTTTTAGTCGCCCGAGAGTATAAACATCAGTTTATGCCCGTGGTACATACACAATTTTATGTTTTACAAATAGTTTTCTTCGTCAAAATTCGTTTACAAAATAATTCATTATGTTTGATGGAGTATGCGTGGTTCAAATTTGTTAATGTGATTGAAACCATTCAAACGTCAAATGTAATTTTAAATAATTCAATTCATCGTGAATGAGGAAGAAGTTACAGAAACTATACGAAATAAGGCCAATCTTGTGATTTAGTAGGTATTGACAATTAATAATTGACGTTTCTAATTTTCAATGACCTGCAAATATTTGTTTGTTTTGTCATTAAGTATAAATGAGTTACTATGGTGATACTTAATGCCCTAGGGCATAAAGTGGTACTTTATGCCCGCGTATCACAGATATAAAATGTGCTATGATAGGTTAGTAAGACATAAAAAGCTTTATGTACGACTGCAACAACCCTTAAAAATGAAAATTTCATGGAATTCAATAAACTATAAAATCTATATATCATTGACAACAGATGTCAAGCATTTGTCAAATATTTCTAAAATACTACCTTGGATTGACACCTAAGTACGACTGTCACATTGACAGGCGGCCGTTTTACTTTATCATTATGGACTACGCCATAATATTGCTAATTATGGCCACTAATTGCGACTGTAATCACCGCATTATCAAGCAGTCGTACTGTGTTTCTTTAGTTTGGGAAAAAATTATTGTAATCTTAGGTTGTCATTGAATTGTGTCAATTTGAATTCCAATTTAAGATCAATGTTCGAGTCAATTCAATTATTATGTCAGATTTTGCGACAATTTTTTTAAATTCTGAATAAGCTCAACGTCACGATTTTTCTTTGTGCCGGGACCCAGTCATGCCCTGAGTTTAATTTTAAAAATTAAAACAATTAAGAATAATGGTAATTGTGAGCTATGTAGGTATGTCCGTTGTGGCATTGTATTTATTTTCTTATGCGTCCAAAGGCTACAACATTGGTATCTGGCGTGCCAGTGCGCATGTGGAACGAATCCTTAAATTACAAAAACGTGCAGTAAGAATAATGTGTCAACTTAACAACGTCGTGTAAACTTACTTCAAAAAATTAAAAATCTTGACAGTCCAACCTTTACATCCTGGAAACATGTTTATACGCTGTCAAAAATAAATAAACAGTTTATTAAATTAACACATGCCTATAGTACACGTAACAAGTTAGTACTAAATCCTGGTTAGCATAGAGCAGCACTTTTTCAAAATAACTTAAACTATTTAAGCTGTAAGATCTGCAATGTCCTCCCAAATAAAAGAATATTTTGAGCATTTACGAGCATAAGTCAACCCAAAACACATCATCATGGTTTTTATTATGTACTTTTGTGTCTATTATTATTACTGCCTACTATAGCTAAATTTGACGCGAGAATTGAGCACATTATAAATAAATGTATTTCCATCCTTCGTGGAGGAAAGAGTTCGTTATTCAATGCATTCTTCTAAAATTTATGCAAACTTGTGTGTAAATTCGAAAGGGTGTAACGAGTGGTACATAAAGTTTGCATCACTTTTAAAATGTCGTGCAAAGTTAGTGTATTTGTACTGTGTTTATTAATTAGACCTCAATGTTAACTGATAAAGCGCCAATATCTGGTAGGGCGCCAAAACCCGATCCGGTACCGCCTCGAAAAATACCCAGTTACGCCACAGGAGTGATAAGGTTCTTTGTGACAAAATCATCAATCCATGCATTGGTGTAACAGTTATCCTAGTGGGTTCATTACACAAAATTTTAAATCCACGAAGATAGGAGGTCCATCAATGAGTTTCCATTAGAACTAAGAGCGTGTACTGTGCGATCAAAAAAGGGTTGCTGTGGAGTGACCTTTGGAATTTTTGTTTACATGGGAAATCATATTTAACTTGAACTTCCAAAGGCGACTCGACGTCAATCCTTTTTTGATCCCCCGTTATAAACTTAACATTAAAATTGCCGCGTTCTAGCAAATTCATGATAAGGTCTATATATTACTAACACAATTGCATTTTCCTACTTACACCGCAAAACTCGAATGGCCTTCGCAGGGTAGTAAACGCGACTTTAACAGATCAGCATCTAAATTGACGTCCCGTATATAAATGGCTGTACCTCCATGATTCATTTTGGAGCGGCAGGGGATATTTCTCGGTACTTTGCCAGTGCTCAGTGAATAACTGAACAACTGTAAGGTTTATTCATGAACGCATAATATACAAGATCATCTCTTCTAAAGAACAAAACAACGTATGACACTCCCATTGCATCTTATTCGAACCGTTAAGGCGACGGAGGAATTAATTCACTGAACTTAAATTTCCTGCATATGCGAGTCGTAAACTGCTTCATAAATCCTTGAAATATGCTTGAAAAAGCAGGCGAAACTTCCGATGCAAACAATCTAGAGCTCAAGTTCAGGAGAGTGTTTACCACCTCTGAAACGTTGGATTAAAGGCTTACCGCATACGAAAAAATTACAGATTTACCTTCATTAGCCATTCCCGTAAAGTTTATACTCATGTCATCCAGTTTGCAAACTATATCAACGTTTATATCTTTACAATTACTTGTATCAAACCAGTTGCTTAGGGAGAACTCACAAACCGTACGATCACATTCGCATGTTACTGTACCACTCCCTTTAACCTCAACACTTATCATTTGTCCCAAAATTTCGTAATTTGTCCACAGTCCCCATTTGGGTAAGACGACCTTGCCACTAATTTTACCTTCTTTAGGACGAATGCTAGAAGATTATTAAAGAAGTGTTCGACTACTTATTTTAACACTCACTCTACTTCCTCAAATTGGTAGTCGTACATTTTAAAGAGAGTAAAGTTAGTTGTGTACGCAGCAAAATCGGTAATTGGGGTTTCCAGGGTTATATTAAAACCCGACGATACGTAGGGATTTAGTGTACGCATACCAATTTCCGGTACTCCATTTTTCACAAAATCGTTTAAGCTATTCGCAGCCTTTACGAAGCATTCGTTTAATTTCGGATCATTTTGGTAGCATTTTGGAAAGGCATTTGCTAGAACAGAACATTATTTGATCACACACACAGACAGAAGATGAGAATCTGTTTCCATTGCCATTAAAACACATACAGTTAAGGTCTATATAATATGCACGAGCAGGTAGGCTACATGGCTTAGAATGAAGGTCAAAAACTTACATAAAGTAGCCGTTTCGATGTGATCAAAGATACAACTGAGTAAAATTATCAAAATCATGTTTAGTATCTTCTAAAAGAACATCCTGATTACACGATATATATATAGGATCGACTTGAGAATAAAAATCGTAACTAATTCAATGAACATTGTTCAAAACCCTATGGTGCTTCGTATATAATTGTAGAATAAATCACTGTAGAGAAATATACAAATAAAAAGCAGTTCCCAGAGATGTTTTTGGTAAATTACTTTAAAAATATAAATGTCGTAATATAGCTCTCATTCCATTTTTTCGCTAATATGACTTTTGATCGTTTTTTATTTCACCGACTTTGAGTTCCATAACATTTCTCAACTTTATTTTCAAGTAATAAAATCTAATGTAAATCTTTGTACTGATGGAGTTTTCCGGTTTAAAAAAATATTTCCACTCATAAACCAAACACAACACAAGAATGCTCTCTGTACACCACATATCTCAGCAAGATTCAATGAGAACTAGAAATAAATTAAAATGAAACATTCAGACTAAAAAGATTCAACGGATCGAACCACAGATTAATTACACCAAATCGCGGCCACAACTCTCCAGACATACTAGTATAATACAATGTACCAAATTTCAGTAGCATTATATATTTATTCACAATCATATATGTAAGATATCAATTGCCAACTGTTTTGAAGTTTGGAAATGGAATTTGTTATACAGCCTCTTTATGTAAGATTGGAATAAAATAGTATACAAACCTCGATGGTCGGTGGTTCATAACCAACGCCTCACGCGTATATCTCAATATGTACCATAAGCCCTCGGCGTAGGTAATGAACCACTTCCCAGCTCGGTATGTAATCTACTATTATTTGTAACGTTGCGCAAAAATTCAAGACAAGGAAAACGTGTGAGAAGCTTTTCTTATTCAGCTCACTGCCTAAACCTAGGCCTAAACACTACCTTAAATGGTCATGAAGAAATAAGGGTTATTATATTGTAGTTCTGCTTCCATCTTTGGAGTATGTAAGATGATAAAATTAATGGCAATAATTATGTGAACACGTGTATTCTTGCTATGGACATAATTTAATAGTCGCATAAAAGTAAGACTCATTTGTATAATTAAGAATTATGTTGCAAAATAGCACATTAACGTTATGTGAAAAATTTGCTCCCATTAAAACAAACAATCTGCGTTATGAAGGTCCAATTTTATTAAATTTACCTTGAGCAATTAAATCATAATTATTATGTAAATGGTGTTGATCCCATTTACTTCCTTTTTCTCATTTGTTTGAAGCTTGGTAAAGTACATGCGCCTAGTTCCAATTCCAATATATTCAATTCGCTATGTGCCACTAGCTCCTGGAAATTCATCCTAGAAGCATCGACTTTCAGAATATTAGCCCAAAAAACCAAACCCGGAATATTCACTCCAGGAAAACTGGCTTGCGACAGATGACATATCCAAATTTTCATTTAGACCATCTGCTATGTAGGTAGTTATTATCATTCTAGCCTTACTAATTACAATTCATAACTAAAAATTAGTAGAAATAGTACTAATGTAAAAGGAAGATGCCGTTCTACAGACTCAAGGAGAAAACCCTTTTGTGCGAGTATAGGTATCTAATTGTTTGGGGAATAAATTTTTATTTGCAGGCACTTTATTCCGTTGACCTGACACAGTAACGATCATTAATTCTATGGTAACGATAGACTTTGCTAAAAGTTAAGAAGACGAAAAGAGATCATGTTTACGTAGATTTTAGTAGTGTTTACAGGTCTATAAACGTGATAATGTTTATGATAAAAATGCAGTTGGAATACTCATTTAAGTTAGTTAAGGTTCTTGAAGGTAGCACTGGGAATTACACCAATGTACGTTATCTTTGATTACTTTTTTGGCAAAAATAACGTTACTTTTTCAATGGCGTTAATGATACTTCGAAATCGAAACTTTCCTTGCATGCTTCCCTCGTATTTAATTGAGTCGTTATTTCAAACATCAAACGCAAATTTGAATTAAACAGTACTAACTTTTGTGTTCATAAATCGTGATTTGTTTTAAGACATTCTTGACTCGGCTCCTAACGTCGCCTCGTCCATAATGTCTAACTCGTACTGTTACAAGTAACCTACCGGACTTATAACGTAAATAACTATGTCAGTACTGTAGGTAACGCAATGATTAATAACTTGTTAATTTTATTAGCTTGGTAAGAGATTTATGTTATACCTTTTAATTACGATTAGATTTGGAAGGATTGTAAATCGCTTAATTAGGCGAACCCTTGTCCATTTGTAAGATTTCTTGCTTACAATAAACTTTATTATTATTATTATTATTATAAAATAAAATTGGATAAACAATAAAGTAATGGTAGTACAATTATTGGATGAGATGATGCAGTCGTATATAAAGCTTTGTATATATTGCGTCCATAAATGGGCTTTATGGGGACTCGCCTTGTTTATTTGTGCCTCGCTCGCAAGGTCCATAAAGACCCAGTTTATGCATTACATTCAAAATAATTATAAGGTCTGCCGTTTGGTATTATTTCAAAAATTTTAAAGGACATTGCTACAATAGTAACTGGCCGCCTTTTTTAAATAAAGGTAAAATAACGGAAACGGAGACATCGGGGAAATTTCCTTCTGAAATACAGGAATTGAAAAGGTTAACTAAATAATCGACGTAGACAGGCTGATTCAAATACGGGCTACCATGGGGATCTTGGGAACTGTAGGAGATAAGTAGGTAGTTTAAATTTGGCAAAGTTGCGTATTTTTATGCTTAACAAAATGGAGTTTTGAAACTGAAAAAATTCTGACTACTTTCTGAGATATCCGGAAAAAAATCTTGCAAAATCGTTTTTATTTTTTACCGAAGTGATTAAAACTAGCATCTTGTAGAGGGAAAAAGTGGCCATACTATTGTATTATTTATTTTGAAAAAACTCCGGAAGTAGTAGGAATTTTTTCAGTTTCAAAACTACATTTTGTTAAGCATCAAAATACGCAACTTTGCCAAATTTAAACTACCTACCTATCTCTTACAGTTCCCAAAATCCCCATGGTGGCCTTCGAGTTAGAAATTAATTTTACCTATCATTGTATTTTAATTAAAGGTCTCAGCGAAAGGAACCGTTTTCTACCAACTACTGCCCTTCTTTCTGAGGGTTGGAGGGGGGGGGGGGGGAGTGGAACTTCTCTCTCTCAACAAAAGGAATTTCTTTCTACCACCCATAGTCCTCCTCCTCAACCCCTTATCGTGATCAGATCTATTCCCTTATATCTCCAGCACGGATTGTCGGGAGAGAGTACTCACAAAGGGCGATTGGGACGTCTGGAAGAAATATATCCATTGGTGATGTCAAAACTTTAAGAGCGAATATCTCGAAAACGGTTTGTCGGAGAAAAATACTCTCAAAGGCAAACTCTGCCGAATGGAGTGTCGGAGGATTTGGAATGTATGTCAGGCGGTCTTTAAATGTTTGTGTGTAAGGGGCCTCCTCCCCTTTATAACCCAACCATTTACTAAAGTATTTCGGTTTTTAAAAAATGCGCTTTGTATACTTGTTCAGTATTGCCCACGCTTTGGCGATACGTATTTACAAATGCTTTTCGAAAATCTTCCCAGTTTTAAATATGTCATCAGTTTCATTCTAGCTACCTCCAATGCAGATATCACACAGTGGGGCGAATTGAACCAATCCAAAAAAGTGTTCCAAAATTCTTTTTGTAAGCCACTTATAAAATTGCGTTTGTTAGTTGCATTACGAAATCATCTCGTTTGTGCTGAGATATAGCATTGTTAGATGGAAGACAATTTCCAACAATGGCCAGAGAATCAGTCAATTGTGGATTGACGAGATTATTCTGACAAAATTGACAAAATATCATACACATTTTTATTGGTTTTATCATTTATATCTTCAACCTACGCGTATGTTCAATCGATAAATACAATAGAGTATTTGTGGGAACGTTACCGAAGACGAAGTATTGTCATAACTATAACTGTAATGTAACAGTGCGTGTGATAATCTGACGTACGGGAACCAATAATTAAAGAGCAAAAATTAAACATAATTGCATTCGTTTCTCAATAAACATTTAGAGGTAAATCGCGTTTGTAATTTACTTTTTCGATGAGTCAATTCCAGCGAATTAATTTCGTTTTCATCCCCAGCCATTAAGCATTTATGAAATTTAATTAGACCGTAGGCAGCCCCAAGATAAAATTGATAATTTTGTCCAATTCAGTTTTTCAATTCTTAAACGGCAAATTCGTTCAGTGCGTTGACGCTAATTAGTTCATACACTAATTGGTATGCGTGAACATTTTTAGGGACGTTCGTGCACACATTTGTCGGTATATTTTCATTCTCTCCATCAATGCATTCAACTTCTATATAATTGTAGTATAGGAAGCCAAATTATGTGAATGTAAGTGGGAATCAAACGCCAAGTTCAGATGTAGTAAACCTTCTAATTTGCCGCTATTTACGCAAAAGGGGTTAAAAGCATTGTTTTCCGTTCGCTAATTGGCCTCCTTCAAAGGGAGATGCAAGCACCTTCGTTAGTGCTGTAGATATATAAAGATAATTTTTAGATCTCCAGAAAATTACGCGGCATAATAACGAAACGGTATCTGAAAATAGGTGACAACAAAAAATTCAAGGAAATGACAACCCTTTGAACTTTTCGTGCGACACAAGAAGCTTTACTTCTTTGTTTTGGCATAATATCTTTTTTGTGTGCTCGCCTCACTATCTACTTTTCTTCTTTGACAATTAAGTATTTACCGCATAACGCAGTTTTGTCCTGAGTTTCACAAAGTCACATGAAAGCTGTATTAAGAGCACAGTGGATCGCAAAAATTTTAGAAATGTTTCTACCGTGCAAAGTGTGTTCGCTACTTACGTGCCTTGTTTGTGCCGGCCAAAATGTCTTGCATTTTCTAGGATACGTTTTAGGGCATTGGGTGCATTTTGTTTCGATAAAAAGTGTAATTGTTTTGTAACTAAAATAATGAATTTATTTTGTTAGTAAGATACATGGCATATAATGGGCTTTTACAAAATAACCTCGTAATATCATTATTGAAAACCACCAGATG